AGCTCTCCAAGTCTTTCATTCTGGCATGTGATTACAGTTTTAGCATCTCTTACTTAGTTACCTTCTAGCTATGAGGCACTGTGCTTATATGTACAACTTCACTTCTACAGCTTTTTTGTGTTGCCATAGAAATTCACCGGTAATGTAAATGCAACAGATTTACACCATAAAATGGCAAGAGCTTTCTCATCACTCCAAGGAGTCAAATCCTTGCTTCAGCAAGCAGAAAAAAAGACTGAAGAAAACAGTATTTATTTATGAATTCCTACTCTGTGGACGGTGTCCACTGCATTGGCGTCATCTGTGCAGTTTTGTTCACCACCAAGTGTGGACAAAAATGTAAATGATGACATGGAGTGAAGAAGTGAGCCACAGTCTATCACTACATTGTGTACAAAGTAGGAGAGTGACAAATCTTGTTTAAATGACTGAGTGGGAAAGAAGCCCACAGGTCACCTGAAACTAAATTTCTGCATGGGCTTAAATACCCAACCTCTACTTTTAATATATTGACCCAAAATCCCTACTGTTTGAAGTACAAATGAATTTTAACTTGGTTTAAACTCTTCAAACTCTAAATCAGTTAAGTTCAGATTCATGGGGCACTACTGTTTTATAATATGGGTGCTAGGGGGCTGGTGAGATGGCTCAGTGGTCTAAAGCACCTACTTGGAACAAGCTTAGCAAAGCACAGGGACCACAGTTCAATCCCCAGCACCACATGCCAGCCCCGCCCCCTGGTGGGCTGAGCTGCCCACACACACACACACACACACACACACACGCACAAATAAATGTTAAAAAAATAAATAAAATTTAAAAAAAAATAATATGGGTGCTAGGCATATTGAATTGGGTGAAGTACCCTTCAGAGCTAAAATTCTATGTGCGAACTCTTAAGTTTTTTTTTAACCATGCATTTGTCCAACTAAAGCTTCGAACATTTCAGGAATCATAAAGCAACAACAGCCCACTTTCACACACAAAAGAATGGACATCAAGTTTTGAAGCTGGATCAGTAAAATCAGCCAGCCTCAGGGTTGTGAGACAAGGACAGAGAGGGAGGTTCAGCTGTTTGAAACCTCGTGGTCATACTGCAGAGTACCTCGAGCAAACTAAACCATGGAAATCTGCTCTAAGTGTCTCCCAAAGGCCCAAATATTCAAGGCCTTGTTCCCAGCATGTGGCACTACTGGAGCTTCTAGGTCCTTGGGGGTTGCCTTGAGGGAGACTGGTCTTTTCCTGTTTTGGTTTCTGGCTACCACGGGGTGAGCAGCTTTGTCTACTGTACATTCCCTGTCCATATGCTGCCTTGCCATAGGTCCAAAGGCAATGGGACTGACTGGGGACTGAAACCATGAACAGAAACAAGCTTTCCTTTTTTTTTTTTTTTGCCTATCTCAGGTATTTTGTTGCAGTGACAAAGAGCTATTATCCTTGCCTTGTGGTCTTTCACATGAAAGCATGCCGATTTACAATGCAAGCTGCACTGGCTCTAGAAAATTTGGTGATGATGATCTCTGCTGAATTGCCCTTTTCTCTCTACCGGAAAGTTAAGAAACAGAAATAAAAACCCAAAAACTGTACCAGTGATGCCCAAAGGTTAGACTTTGGCAAGACTGTGATGATGGGGCAACATCCCAAGCTTCCTGGACTGCATCATTAGTGCTCAGATTATCTGAGTCAATATTGTCACTAGCTCCACGCTGGCCTTCCGTTTTCCAAAGGTTGTTTGTGGTATGTTATTTTTATGCTTGTTTTAGTTAATCTTCTCATTGCTGAGACAAAATACCCAACACCCCCAAGATAAGGGAGAAAAGGTTTATTTAGCTCACAGTTTGTAGAGGTTTCAGTCCATAACTGGCTGGCTCCAAGGCAGGGTGGCTTGGCCCAGGGGCACTGCAGAGGAGAAACAGTTCATGGCAAGCAGAAGACAGCAAAAGCAAGGGACAACCACAGCTCTTTCTATTCCTTATATCATATCCAGGCCACTGGGATTAGGGCAGTGCCAAACCAATCTGGGCTGATTTAGTAATCACCCACTCTTAATCCTAGCAATGTACCATGAATCAATCATACACTCTAGATTCAGCCACCTCTGAAAAAGCCTCACCTATGACTGCATGAGGCTTTGTGTGGACATCAACTATCATGAACTGTGCTTGAGTCAGTCTTTCTTTCACATAGAACAGGAATCACTCCATTCAAACACTGTATAACACAGTTCTAGTAGTAGTGGCTAACTTCAGAAGAAAACTGGAGAAGTGATAGCCACCATACCAGCCTGCAGTGTTTGAAGTGACACTGAAAGCGGGCACAGTAACTGGGCAAGTTGAGACTTTATAAACAGGCATGAAAAAAACTGAAGGGTAACTTGTATGTGAGCAGAAACAAATCCACAAGTCAGTGGCAGGAAACACGGCAGAGAGAAGCAGAGCAAATTGGATGCACAACCTAAGGTGGAGGAAACAGTGCAACAGTCAAAATAATGTAAGTAGTCAACCTCTGGCAAACGAAGACATTCTATATTAAAGCTTCTGTTTGTATGGCTTTTATACATTTGTCAACAGTACAATGAGAACATTTATCATATCATTAAAAAGTTGAAGAGAAATAATAAATGAAGATATTAATAGCATATATAATCTACCAGACACAACACTGGAATAAGGAATCTCTATAAATGAAGGGAAATACAACTAGCTCCTGAGAAAATGGTCCAGTGGGCTGCCTGACTACCAGTAACCAGAGGGAAGCAAAATGAAACCATCACGAGATGCTACTTCATCCCCTTCAGTCTGAGAAAATCAGTCAGATTGACAGTGTATGTCCTAGATATCAGGATAATGGTGTTTAAACCTTCCTCCCATATGCCAAGAAAAATCAGCAAATCCTGATAGAAGGAATCCCACAATATATCTATACATATCAGCACTCACCAGCATTGTACTGTCAAGGTGTTTATCAGCAAGGAAAATCTGAGAAAACGGCCTAAGTAGAGCCTAAGGAACCATGATGATGAAATGGAATATACAGTCCCGGAACAGAAAAAGGACATGAGGCCTAGATTTTCTCTCTGGAATAACTTGACCTCTCAGCAAGTAAAGAATCTGACATTTACAATCAAGTGTACATTTAAAGTGTGTGTGTCATGCTGACATGGGGCCAAGGCCTCAGATATGCTAAAATGTGCTCTAGTGTTAAGCTACAACCAAACCCCTATTGTCTAGCTTAAAAAAAAATGACTACAGATGAGGTAGCTAAACAACTATGTGGCAAGTATTTTCTTGTATTCTAGCACACAGCGGTGACTATAAAACTAAAAAACCTTGAAAAGGCTTCAAAAAACACTTGCCCAGGGATACTGGTAAAGGTTTTCTGCAAAAGTAGGTTGAGTCAAGGTAGCTTGCTGTAAACACAAAGGGTCAGATATATAAAACAGGAAGTGGGGTGGAGTGATTTACATACTAAGCAAAAAAGAGTGGGGGAATAAGGCTACAGGGCCAGTTTAGAGAGAGAAAGCCTTTTGTGCTGTTCTAAGCCATTTCATCTTATCCTGTGGACAATATGTAACCGCTTAAGATTTTTAAATGGGACAAAGATAAAATCAGAGATGGGGTTTAGAAAAGTGAGTCTGATGGAATGAAAGCTAATGAAAAGGCAAATGCTTGGGAAAACATAGTTCAGCTTTGGAGGTGCTGAGATTTGGGCCATAAAAGCAAGGGGATATTCAGGCCACAGGGCATCAGTGGTAGTCTAAATTGAAAGGTGGCAGGCCTACTGGAGTTTATCAGGAAGGAAAAGAGATCAGTCAAGTGATACCTCCAAACATGAGAGCAGCACAAACCTACAGAGGTTTCCCTTTGAGAAAAGACTATAAGCATATGCGGGAGGTAGGAACTAGGATGGGGCGGGGTCTGAGGACTCTACTGGAGCCATCTGCACACTAGAGTTAAGAGTACAAAGCCTATACCTTGAGTTTAGCTTATTAGGAACATAAAAGGCAACTGTATGCACCGTATGTGTTCCTGAGGATCTAGGAGGGTCTCTAGCATGCAAGGCAAGCATTTTACCCCTAAGCTACACCCTAGAGCTTCTTTTCACTAATTTTAAGAATAGGTAATTTTTTTTTTTTTTTTTTTTTAAATGCACAAGTAATGATCAAGGTAACAGGAAAAACAAAGTACAATGGGACTACCTGACTTGGCAAATGGTATGCCGGTATAGAGGGAAGGGCAACAGTAACATTCAACTGGAATAACCAGGCGAGCCACTTGGCAATTTAAAATTACCTAGTAGTCACACTAGAAAAAGTAAAAACAAACAAAAACCTGGTGAAGTTTTTTTCAAGAGTATCTTTCCTATGACCCAATATATCCAAGATATTCTACATGTTTCCACATACAGCACAGGTCACATTTCAGGGGCTCACTGGCCAATGCAGATCTAGAGGTAAAATGGAATAAGGATTTTTTTTTTTTTTTTTCTTGCTCCTCGAATGCCTTCAGGGCACTTTTGGCCGGCTGGAGTGTTGTGAGGATTGAACTACAGCAACCTGAGGCTGACAGTTTTTTTTTTTTTTTTTAACATTTTTTATTGTATGTGTGTGTGTGCGTGCGTGGCCAGCTCAGCCCACCAGGGGGCGCGGCTGGCTGGCATGTGGTGGTGGAGGATTGAACCGCGGTTCCTGTGCTTTGCCAAGCTTGTTCCAAGTAGGTGCTTTAGACCACTGAGCCATCTCTCCAGCCCCTGACAGCTTTGTGGAAGCAGCCACTTAAAGGACTGAGCTAGGGCCAGGCCTCCCACAGGTAAAATGTTAGAGTCATTATTAACTCTATCATACATGTTCTGCCTACAGGAATGAGAGTAAGAAAGTGGATTTGGGACCCCGACATTTCGATCTTGGTATACTGAAAGTATAGTAGTACTATATGATGAACCAAAATAAAGATCACGGATCAATGTGCTTTTCAAGAAAAGACATGCTACTGTTATGGAAAGGTGACTTTTATTTCCATCCTGAATGATTATCACACCATTATTTAAACACATCTGAAAAAAATCCTGAAATAATTTAAACAGAAGGCACAGAACAAATCAAAATAGTAACTGTAAGAATTTAAGTGAGAAAGTTCAAATATTTTAACAGTAATAATAAATTATGAACAAGTCTCCATCACCAAATATCATTCTGACCAAAAGCTAGTCTTTCTTTATAAACTACTGGGTTGGCTGACTCTCAGATTTCCATGATAAAAATACTGAAAAGAAAATCCTTTCAAAGTACTCATTAGACCACCAGGTTCAATGTATTTTATGTATGACAAAGTAGCAGTTATGATATTTTTTGATGGGTGGTCATAACCTAAGAAATGACACATTTTTACAAACTTTAAAAAAAATAGCAATGTTGGTTACAAAATTCTATTTGGGGAGCAGGGGAAAAACTTGTTCCATGTCAATTAGAATATCAAAGCACTTCAATATCAAATTGCTTCAAAAAAAATCAATCTTCACATAACAGTAATATACTGCATGGGACATTCCTCTGTATCGGGGTTAAGTACTGACCATACAGTGTTGTAATAGGGTCCATTAAGTCAGTAAAATTACTGCCGCCAATTGTTACTTATTCCAAAGAGATAAGTTTTCACAAAACATTATAAAATGGGAATAATCAATAATATGCTACAGATATAATAAGCCCTAGTAATGCATTTGAAAACGAAGTGGTCATGCTTCATAATACACTGTAGGATTTGAAATACATTCTGTGATCATCAATACCATTCATTGCAGAGGTCACTTGTAAATTAGCTCATATTCTGAACTAAGTTTCTACATGAAACTTTTTTCAAGTATGCATAATACTAGTAAAGATACTTTTCTTAACTCACTTCTTTATGTGTTCAAAGGACAACTGTGTTGAGTAAGGGATAAAAGCTTTCAAAAATATTTTAAAAATATGAAAGAGTCCAGTGTCCAAGATTGGACCATAAGATACTGACATCTAAAACCTACTATTTCAGATTTTAAAAAACCAAAACAGACCTTTTTAGTCTTCTACTTGAAACAAGTTTATAAGAATGGGAAAACTAAGAGTTCTAAAACGCTCAGGTGCTCCTATGTGAATAAAATAAAAAGGTCTTGTTTCTACTTAGCTGTGATATATGAGTGTGTATTTAATAGCAATGTGGTTTTAGCTTTATCATCTAGCTTAATTGCATAAATCACAAGAACATTTCCAGACAAGATTGCCGATAAATATAATACAAACTCTAGAAATGATTTTTAGCAAAAACAGCTTCAAAAATTTCCTACGTAGCAAAATGTCCCTTTGGAAATGAATCTTTAATGCCTTTGGACTGTTCCGGTAAATGCGGTTTTACCCACTCCTGCACTAGGGTGTAATAATCGCCCAATGCCTTTGTCCCTGGATATCAGATCACATTAGCTTTTATTCTTTACATCTCTAGTGAAGGTACATTATTAAAAAAACAAAAAACACAAAACTTTAGTGCTGTCACCTTAGGTCTTTATCATCTAGTAGAAATAAATCAGAAAAATCACTTTTTAAACAATATAAAGTATTGAAATGTTGGCACCAATGAAAAATGAGCAATAGATATCACTCAAATTTAAAATGTATTCATTCATGTCACTGCCTGTGACAGCAGCACTAAATGCTACTGTTTGTGTCTGTGCTGACATCAGTCTTGGGAGGGACACATAACTCATTTTATGATTCAGTTACTGAAAACAAAGAACCGCCACTCTACTCCAGCTGGCTGGGTCACTGTTTGGGTGGGCTTCATTCATTACTCTACATCTGAGAGTTTGAATTCTGAAAATATAAACTCACCAGGGTCAGTGGAAGACTGTCTCCAGGCTGAAAGAATTGTAGCTAACTTTAGGAAACCATTTAAATAAAAAGATAACCTTGGTTGTTTTGGGCCCCGGGTCTACCAGCTGTGCCAGTATCTCCTAACACAATGTAACCAAAGGGTTTTTCTTTAAAAAAAACTAAAAAGGAAGAAGGAAGACTGGAAACTAATTTCAAAAATCTATACAAGGCTGCCAGGCCAACAAATAACGGTCAGGGTAACTTTGTTCCTCTGTTCTTTTAACATGGGAACCAGTGCAGAATGGCTCATACCCACAGTAGACAGACCATTTACAGCGACAATCATGTCTCCACATCTGGACAAAGACAAACAGAAACAGAAGCAGAATGTTACTATGTTAACAGTATAAAAACATTACAACAACTGTTTAGCATGAAAGTCATAATTTTACTTACTGATTTACTATCAGTGAGGAAGAAACTCACTACTCTGAGAGACAATTACTAAGCCTACACTGGCTTTCCCTCACCAATCAAGAATATGTCTGCACGTAGTCTTCCAGAAGTCAGGAGGCAAACTTCAGGGACAAGCAGAATAATGTTCAAGGCAAGATATAATTAGGTGAGGCAATGTGTGCTCTTTCTATAAAAAGTACTAAATATCTGGGGATGAGGGTGAGTGATAGAGCCCTTGCCTAGCATTGTGCAAGCCCTATGTTCAATTGCTAGTACTGCAAATATAAGTCAGTTGTGAGATGATGCAAGTGCACAGTGCTGGCTGCTGCTGCTGTTATTACATGATTTGTAGCATTGGGGCTTGCTCCTGGGCAGTATATGTTAGGCAAATGCTCTACTACCGAGTTATATCCCTCAGCCTGCTGTTATTTTGACTATTATTTCTATGTCCATTCTTAGAGCTCATATATCTGAGAGTAAAACGGAGAATAAGCCTCATATTTTCTTTCAGAAGTAGAACTATCAGAAGTGAATGATAGGCCAGGGAGATAGATCGGTGGTCTAAGCACCTGCCTGGCAAGTGCAAGGACCTGGGTTCAATCCCTGGTACTGAATCCCACACTGGCCCCCCTCAATGAGCCAGCCATGGAAACCAGGTGTGGTAGACGACATGTGCATGCCTGTCATCCCAGCTATGCGGAGGCTGAGAAAGAAGGATCACTATAAGTCTGAGCTGTGTAGCAAGACCTTGTACCAAATAAATAAAGAAGTGAATGGTGAATGTGAGAACCTTTCTGTCCTTATAACTTTCAAAATTATCATTTTTGGTCACTAGTTTACAACATACATGAGCATGCCACTCTAGTGTTAACCACTGTAATTTCATTTTGTAGGTAGATGGCATGCAAATTAATAAACTAACTTAGCTAAGACAGTATTTATTCATTTTAAGATAAGAGTTTTTTTCACACTTATCAAGAGAGAATCATCTGGAACACACTTCTGATGAACTTTTTGCAGTGTTACTTAGGTGTCACTTTCGCTTTGCAGACAGTGTCATCTCTCCATGTGTACAGCATTCTTTCTAGAATATGTTGACATCTACTTTTTAAAGAACTGGTTCTTCTGTCTAGGCATTAAGGATTACAATCCATCACTTCTCTGGTGACAATCTCTTGACATATCTTCACTTTTTTTTTTTTTTTTCTGGTGTCTGAGCTTTGAAATAGAAGAGTGTGCATGCTGGCTGAGTGCTCTGTGTGTAGTAGTGGCCAGGGATCTGAGCCAGGCAGTCTGAAGTTTGATGCACATCAACGACCTTCGGCTATTTGAACTTGGGCAAGTTTTTTAGCCTTTCTGAGCCTTAGTTATCTTGTGTGTAAAAGAGAAATAGTAACACATTTACCTCATAAGGTAAAGAAGATTAAGTAATGCGTGCATCCCCTGGCACTGTGCCTGGCATATGATAAATCTATTGTATATTCATTCATCAAATATTTAAGATTTTGCTGTAGCTATTATGGCTGATAGGGATATAACAACAAATGCAACAAAATCCCCTCCTCATGGAGCTTGTATAAATACAATGTCAGGTAGAGATTAGTGCTAAGTTAGTAGAATCATCGAATGCAAGACTGAACCTGAGAAGGTGGTATCGAAAAACTACTCTGAGCTCATTGTCACGTCATAGTGTATCCAATAAAATGGCTCAGTTCAGTTCTGGTTGTCAGGTATATAAAATATGGCTGCAAGTAACAAGATAGTAAAAGTAATGCTTCACTCTAGATCAGGGGTTGGCAAACTGTTTCTACAAAAAGCCAGGCAGTAAATGTCTTTGGCTTTGTGAACCATATAGTCTCTTGCCAAAACAACTCAAGCCTGTGCAGAAGCAGCCACAGATGGTACCTGAATGAATGAGCACAGCTGCACTGCAGTAAAACTTCATTTACAAAAGCGGACCACAGGCTGGATAGTGAGACCCCTGAGCTAGCTCATGCTCGGCTTATCAAACATAAATCACATTATAACAACACTCACTTTAATCTTCCATCATAATAAGCAGGAGTTCCCAAGACAATGGTTTTAATGAAGAAAGGCTGATTGGTGTGGTTCTCCTCATATCCACCAACAATACTGAAGCCCCAACTTCCCAAGTAGCTTCTTCGTAAAACTATATCATGGCAGCTATGAAGAGCACTGTGAACAAACACAAAAAGAAAAAAAAACATGGAGGCATTTACAACCTGCTCATCTATGTTGTAACTCCACAACATGTATGCCTACCATCCTTGGAAACAGAGAAAGAGGGCTACTACTTTCTTTTTGACATTATTACTGTTGTTACAGTTACTGGTACTAAGGATGGAAACAGTAAATGAAATCATTTAGGCAAGTACTGCAGCGCCATACCTCCTACCCTGACTGTTCTGGCCAGTCCATTCTGTAACACTGGTGGAAGCCTAGGTGGACTTGTATTTTTCTTTTTCTAGTCTTCTCTTTCCAAGTGAAGACATATGCATAAGCAGACATAAGCAGGAAGCTTAAATAAAGCTGGTTTCCACAGCACTCACAATAACATCCCTGCTTCTAATAATTATTTGTCTTGTAGGAGAAATTACAAAGTAATATGAAGGAGGTCTACCTACTGCTACTGCTGTTAGAATTCAAATGAAAGAAAATGACTAACAGTGTAGCTTTCAAAAAGAAGGCAGAGGCTAGTGGTATAGCTTAGTGGTGGGGCACTTCCCAGCATTAAGACCCAGGGTTCCATCCCCAGCACTGCAAACGACTGACTAAATAAACAGTTACAAAGTGGTTTCCAAAACGTACCTTTTAATAGTACCTTTTAATTAGTAAGTGAAATCAGACCTATAGATATCTAAGAAAAGACTTCCTCTTTTTAATCTATTTAAAAAAAAAAGATTTCTTAAGAAGGCTGATCCCATAAAGCATTTTGTATTTGCGTTTTAGTTTCTGAGTTCATGAATGAGGAGGGAATTGTAGGGAAGTTTCTGGGGTATACCAAGACCCCACACACTCAATGTTTAGAAACAGTTCTTTTAGTTACTCTGAATCTTCTGCAAAGGGCAGCAGAAGAGTCACCCCTTCAGGAAAGCGCAGCTGCTACTGAGCAGGTTTGAGATTCTGACAGTGGACACCAAGCCAGAGCAGGAATGTGGCTCTTTGACATAGGTGCACACAGCAGAGACCTCTGTGACATAACAGTGACCTCCTGGCGACCAATTTTCTTTCAGAATAGGTGGGCTCAATTATAATACTGCTGATTTCTCATCTAACACTTTTCTTCCTCTGCCCAGCACAGGAGAACATACTGTGAACAAAGAGACGGGCATTAACAATGAGGAGGATTAAAGAGTACTCTATGGCTACCTCTCCATGATGTAGCTGCTCTGCCTGTCACCAGGAGAGGCGGAACAGCTCTACTGAACTCTTGAATGCTAACACAGCCATGCAGCAGCCACAGGTGCTACTTTTCCAGGTTTACACCAGCAGGCCCAGGTGTCAGGTGAACAGCAAAAAATAAATGTGGCTCCTCAGAAGCCTTGAACCTCCCACTTAGTGTAGCTCTATAGAAGTTTAGTGGCAGCCATTTAACCCATATTTATGTTTCAGTGAGAAGAAAAATTTCAGTTCTGATGCATGAAATAAACATATATGAGACAGTTAAATCATCTTTGTTGTAAAAAAAAAAAAAAAAACCACCCCCCAAAGCCAAAAACCTCTTTTCAGGTCCCTACAGGCATGAGACATAAATTCTGTTCTAGTCTAAGCTTACCCCACTTTTGGTCAGTTAACTGCATCACAGATGGATAAGAGTGCAATTATGACTACTGCATGGAACAAGAACAAAGCTATCGTACTAGTACCTTGGAAGCCCAAGCCACATGACCCACGACGGCGACCAACTTGCATCATACTCATTTTCACTGAAAGCACTTGGCAACTCCTCCGAGGTCTGAGTGGCCTCCTCGATAATCTGGACCTCTAGTGCTTTGAGCGCAACAGCTGGGGAAGCAGCACTGGCCTTCAGCATAGCCACAGCCTCACCGTGACTTAAGTTGGTCAGGTCAATGCCATTGATATTCAGCAACACATCACCTGTTCAAGTGAAGGAACCAGAAAACTGATCTCTTCCACCAAGTGACTATTGCCCTACAATTTTTTGTTTAAAAACTAATCAACAAATGCTAGTTCCAATAACTCAGATAAGATCTTTCTAAAAAATCTACAAATTTTATAACTATAAAAACCAAGTCCAATAATAGAAGACACCCTGAAACAACTCATAATTTAAATATTAAGCGTGGCATGGGGGACTCTCATCCAACTGGAAGACCAAAGCTGTGTACAGACCCCACACTTGTGCACTTCTCTGCTGTGAGCTTCAGAGGTTTCTATAGTTCTTCCCAGTTCAAAAACTGACTGAGTCTTTGCTCTTTTTACTATAGCTTATTTTACATTTACACAGCTTTATATATAAAGATAGCCTTACACAGTTCAACATGCCACAGTATGTACAGAGACAGCATCCTTATCCTTGGGTTATACAATGAAATGAAACTTATGATAGGAACATCTCCTCTTGCTTAAGGGAGAAAGATATGTTGCTTTCCCAAGTAATACAATGAAATGGAGATCAGATAAAAGGATAGAAAAGAAAGGATTACTTTTGGAGGAAAAAGGCATTATTCAATAAAGTCTATAGAATTTGCAATTTTGCTTATTTATCATCAATTTTTTATATTATTACAAACATTCTCATTGTACAAAACATAATGAAGTAACAAAGTAACATTATGAAGAAGGTAAAGTTATCTGAGATTCTACCACTGAATAACTTTTTTTAAAGACAGCAGCCTTATTGAGATATAACAAATATAGCACTTGATTTATTCAATTTCATGGTTTTTAGAATGTTCAGAGTTATACAAACATCAACAGAACAATTTACAGAACATTTTTATCACCCCCTCAAAAACCATGTATCCATTCAAGTCACTTCCCATATCCCATCTCTAAGCCATAACTACTAATCTCCTTTCTATCCCTTACAGGTTTATCTATAAAAGACATTTCATAAAATGAAAGACTTTCGCTTAGCAGAAGGTCTTCAAAAATCATCTATATTGTGTTAATATTCTATTCCTTTTTATAGTCAAATACTATTTCACTGTATGAATAGTTAGTTCACTAGCAAATGAACATTTAGATTGTTCCCATTTTTTGGGCTATTGAGAATAATGCTACTAGTTTTTATGTAGATATATTTTTCATTTCTTTAGGAGGAGAACTGATAGGTCACATGTATTAGATATTGAAGGAATTACCAAATCATTTCCCGTAACAGCTGTACTATTTTATACTATCAGAAATGCATGAGGATTTCATATTTCTCCATGTCCCTTGCCAATGCTGTTACTGTTTGTCTTTTTTATTACAGCCATCCTAGTGAGCATGAAGTAATACTTCATTGCAGTTTTGATTCCCATTTCTCTAACAGCCAGTGACGTTCAGCAGCTTTCCATAATTTTTGGCCTTTTTAAAATCTTCTTTGGAGAACTGTCTATTCAGATTTTTTGTCATCTTTAAATTGGGTTATTTGAATTTCTGCATACTGAGTTGTAAAAGTTTTTCATATATTCTAGATTTAAGTCCTATCTTTTTGCTTTCTTGGTAGTATTCCCTGTAGCATAAAGTTGTAATACTGATGAAGTCCAGTTTATCTAGTTGTTTCTTTTGTTGCTTGTGCTTTTTGCATAAAATCTAAGAAATCACCGCCTAATTCAAAGTCCTGAAGATTTACACCTGTGTTTTCTTTCAGAGTTTTAGCTTTTACATTTATGCACTGAAATAATTATGGGTTAATTTTTGCATATGGTGTGAGGTAGGACCCCAATTTAATTCTTGGAAAAGTAAATTCTGAGTCTCAATTTTTTTTCCATATGAACTAGATCAAAAGATAGTGCAATTTTCTACTATAGGAATAGTGGTTAACTGTACCCTGCCACCTATGCAAATTATATAGCACTGAAAGGGAATATACGTGGTGAGTGAGTTTATTCCTAAAATTAGGTTTGTCCTCTGCCCCAACTACTTTCTGAGACTCCTGCTGTATAAACATTTATAAACAACATTTGCATTTTAGCAAGATGGCCCTTCAAGGTAGAATACCTGCCATAACCGCATAAGCTTAAGTCTGTTAGAGATCTTTTCCAAAGTGAAAATCATCTAACAGTCTGAGTAACTGAAAATTCTGGAACTATCATTATGGCTCAGCAATTTTGTTTCAGACTCAGTATTTGCTGAACCTTACAGAAAGATGTTACATTTTCATAAGCAAGGGACATTTCACAGAATTCTGAAAAAAAATATTTAATAGGAAATTTTATAGATATTATTTATTTTTTAAAATATGAGCTTTATGCAAGGATAAGAGGTGGTAGAATTACTCATAATTCTATTTTACCTCTCTTAATTCTGCCATCTCGGGCAAGACAGCCGTGAGGTGGTACACTGGTCACAAATATCGGCAGTTCACCACTCTTACTTCCTCTGCCTCCAGCGACTGTCATTCCAAGGGATTCATGTGGTTCCTTCTTTACAGTAATATGTTTCTCTTGGCATGTAACACATTGAGTAAGATCCTAAAGGACAAAAGGAAAAAAGCAGTAGTTAATGAATAATATTTAACTGAGGCAAAGACAGTTTGAACTAAGATGATAGCTAATACGGCATGTTCTATTTTCTTTTTTTTATTCCTAAGAACTGAAAAGTAATAGTTCTTGATAATAATACTGTATATCATGTTCAACTTTAGATTACTGATTTTCATATGACTACTTATGGAACCGAAACAAATTTAGGACTGTTGACATATGGAAGTTAAAGTAAATAAACACATTCCTTTTATAATTATATTGAGCTCCAAAATATGAGTAATTCTGTTCAAGTAAATGTTTTTGAGTTTTAAGATTCTGAAGACATCAATTTTTAATCTCTTTATCTTTTCTGCAATTCTTTGAAAGAATAGTTAACAGTACTACAAAAGTATGAATTTTGCTAACTTCCAGAAAAAAGCTGTAGTCCTATTTGATTCTGACAAGCAGTTCAGGTGCTCAGTCACAAAGCCAGTGCAAATCTACTTCTAAAACCTTTATGAAAAGCAGAAAGTACACAAAATAATCACATTTTTGAAAAAGATAATGATAGGAAAATGAATTATGAACAAAGTAATATTCTGTTTAAAAAATTATTTAGTACAGGGTCTTGCTACGCAGCTCTGACTTGTAGTGATCCTCCTGTCTCAGCATCCCCAGCATTGGGACTACAAGTGTGCGCCACCATGCCTGGTCCGGGGCCAGTAAGGCATGCAGTACTGGGAGTAGAACCTGGTCCTTGCGTTTGCCAGGCAGGCGCTTAGGTCATGGAGCTATCGCCCTGGCCCCAGAGTTTGCTTTGATAATAAAAATTATTAAGAAAGAAGGGCTACTGTTCTTATTCTAGGCCCTCATTCTCCTTCATAGCTGCTGTTCCCTAACTGGCAAGGAGTGGGTGGGACCAGGGTAAGGCCAATGCAAGTAGGACAATGGTTCTGGGCCCAGGCTCCCCAACCACCCCAACTCCAGTCCAGTTAGATTTGACTCAGATATCCAAGTCAGCATCTAGGTCTTCGGGGTCCAGGTTGTCATAAGTGGCTCATACAAGATGCGGCTGGAAGCCTGGCCTGGCTCAGAGCGTAGCAGAGCTTGTTTTTCAGAGCTAAACTGGAAAGGCAGAGTCAGGCTATCTCTCGCTTCTCTTTCTCAGACAGGTGAAGAATGAAGGTCAAATGAGCTGTGGGGGTCCACCAGGAAAGTGTAAGGATCTGGGTGGGGCTGGGACTGTAGGGGAGATCCTTCTTAGAGATTCAGGCTGAAGTCAGAAGGATGGAAAACTGCCGAGTCTGTAAGTTGGTCGATGTCGGGGCTTCCGGTAGAGGATATGGGCTGGGGCTTGGCTCATTGTACCACCCAGTGTCACTTCAATCTGAGCAAGATTGCGCAGTGCTCCACGGGGGCCTGGGCCCATGGAGCTCTTCATGCAGCAGGCCCAGCATATTCACCTGCTCTATGGAGAGCTTTCATCACAACAGGAAGCCTGATAGTGCAGAGCATGGACGGTCTGGCAGACTGTGTTACAGGGAAAATGAAGCAACAGCCAGCTGAGTGAATCAAGAGCAATGGTGAGAGGCCTGGGATCTGTTGTCCTGCACATGGCTCTTAAGGCTCCCACGGGTCTCCTAGGAAAAGCCTCTCCATTTTTTGACCAATTAAGAGGGTCTCTGAAGAGGTCATAGTACACCAGTCAGCTGTTAATATTGGAGTCAAAACCTCGAAACTTCCTCGCTGACTTCACAGCCCAGGTCGTGAGTTTATTCTCCACATAGTGCAGATTTCTCGATAAGCACCTTAAGAAGTCATGCCCCTCCCACTGTATGGAATCCCGAGGCAGAACCAACCCGCCAAAAGTCAACAGCGACTCAACATCTCTGCAAGCTATCCCAGCCCACTCAGACGCTCTCTGATGAAGTCACACCCCCGCCTGCTCCACTGAACAGGGCGGGGTTTTCGGGATTCTTCCCACCATTAAGAGCCGGCAGTGCCGGCAGTCTCTATTGTAGTCAGAACCCTGGGTCAACTGACGTCACGCCCCCCCCCCCCAGCAAAGTAACATTAAGTTACTTTTACGAATATTTTCTACTATTACCCATTTTTGAGACACTCTTAGAAGAAAAAAAAATCATTTATTTTTAAGAAAAAGAATATAAAACATTTTCCTTCTGAATTAAGATGTATATTCAAATTAACATTAATATAATAATTAACATCCATTAGACTTTAACATGTACAAAATTAAAGATTTAGTTGCATCATTTCATTTAATCCTTGCAAAGTACTGAAAAACAATACTATTCCTGGCCCCTTTATTGATATGGAAACAAACTCAAAGAGGTCATATAATCTGCCTCAAATCATGTAACGAAAGTGATTCTGTTACAATTTGAACAGAGACATTTCTTTTTTCTTTTTTTGCAGTACCATGGATTGCAGAATTTGAATTTATGTGTTAAAATATGTATATTAGCTAGGTATGATATCCACATCTGTAAAGCTCAGCACTCTTGGAAGCTGATGCTGGTATATCATAAGTCTTAAACTACCTTGGGCAACTCAGTTATCCTGTCTCAAAAATTAAAAGAAAGGGCTGGAGATGTATTCAGTGTAAAGGCTCTATACCCAATGTCCAATATAGTGTGATGCATTATATGTACATATTGTACATATGTATCCACATAGGCAGGAAGTGTAACAATGTCTCAAAATATATTAATGTTCATCATCTGTTCAAAAAATGTTGGAAATAATAATACTGAAAATAGAAATACATGAATTGTAAGTACCATACGCTGACTGTGCCCCTGGAGCTCTAGAAATACACAAATTATATACATAGACTTATAATATTTTTATTTTAAAAAGCAGAAATGGGGCCAGCCTGATAGCTCAGAGGACTAAAGTGTCTGCTTAGGCAGAGCTCAACGGCCAGGGTTCAATCCCCTGTGTGCCGTGCTGGCCCCGCCCCTGGGGCGCACTGAGACAACTATTGAGATTGGACATGGTGGCACACGCCTGCAATCCCAGCACTTGGGAGGCTGAAAACAGGAGAATCACTATGAGTCCGGTCTACATAGTAAGACCCTGTAGACTCTGTCCTAAATACAGAAGAAAAAAAAAAAACCCAAAAACCAAAAAACTAAAACTAAAAATAAAAAGTTGATATGCATTTAACTGTTAAAAATGATATCTACCAATTTCCTAAAGTAGACCCTCGCTACCCTTCTCAGGACCTGTAATCGTGTGCTTTAAATTTTATCAAAGGAATTACTTGCATGTTTTGTTTGATTAGTGCTGGGGATCGAACCCAAGGTCTCGCCCATGCTAGGCAAGCACTCTACCACTGATTTCTACTACCTGTTTCAGGTCCTAGAAAAGTTCTAGCTCTGCAAACTTGCTAGCATCTTAAATCCTCTAGCTAAAAATATGAATGCATGTTAGTATCCTTCAAAATCAAGCAAACACAACCTGATAAAAACTTGGGGAAACAGCCATTGAGTATGAGTACTCAGGCATTTTGACCCTGAGGTAGATAGATAATTTAAGGATGGTTGTGTTACTGCGCTACACAAAATAAATTCATGCAATTTTCCCTCAGGAATCAAACCAAACTTCAAAGATTACACTTAGTATGCTTCAAGGAACTAAGGCTTCGATACCATATGAATTTTTATTCAAGCAATAATTGAGAGGTGCAGCGGTGGACTAATATATACTGTACTTTAATTTTTAATGAATATAAGGACAGAGAAGATTGTTTTTGTGAATTGTGTTTGTCTTGCTTGGAAGGTCTTTATTCAGGATTTGACATAACAAACGCAGTCTGTTAGAGGTAAACAGCTAAATTAACACATTCCATTCCGAGTACTTGCCCTAAGGTTTGCAAAGTACCTAAAATAACAGTGAAGTCAGCACTACTCCTTAAAACATTGTTACATAAAACTGAAGAGAAAAATTAGCAAAGTTATGACAGAAAAACAAGGGCAAGAAATAAAAATAAAAAATATACAGAGTTCTCTATATCAATATCAAACTGATTAAGCAGGATTTTTAAATTGTCTTACAAGTAGCCATCCATGTCTCAAATTATTAAATTCAATGACATAAAAATTCAATTATGAACTATGGCCCTATTTAAAAATTAAATATACATAAAAATCTTATAAAGCAAGAACTATGCATATGAAATAATAATTCAAAATCCTTGTTCAAAATAGTTAACTCTTTTTACAGAGTTGTCTTCATAAAGGAAAAACATGTTTGTGGCTACAATTTCCCTTTAGTATTAACTAAACCAAAACCCAAACATACCCAGTGGGCCCATAACACTGTCTTTCAGCTATGCTTTCTTAGGATACCAGTAACAGATTTCAAAGGGTATTATGTTCTTCAAATATATATAAATCTCAAAGCTACTTTAGCAAAAATGGAGCTAGTATTTTAAGCAAATCAATAAACAAGGTTTTGTTTGGTTAAGTATCTCCTTCCCTCCCCTCTCTCTGGAATTGAACTCTTGCTGTGCTGCTTAGTTATATCCCAGGTTTAGTTAAGTACTTTAATTTCACTTAAGGAGAAATTACTGACAAAAGCTCATATGAGGGGAAAAAAATTATAAAGATGAGAGCAGAAATTAACATACTGGAGATTAAAAAAATACAAAGCATCAATGAATCGAAGATTTGTTTAAAAGATTAAATAAAATCTACAAAACTCTTAGCCAATCTTACCCCAAAAAAGGAAAGAAAAGATTCAAATCCACACAATTAGGAATGAAAATTGTGAAGTCATAACAGATTGCAGAAATCAGATCATCTATACCTACTTCGAAAACTTGTATTCTAATAAAAATGTCCCCCACCCCCACCCCGGCAGTACCAGGGTTCAAACTCAGGACCTTGCATTTGCCAGGCAGGTGCGTATGCCATTGAGCTATCTCCCCAGCTCCAATAAAATGGAAAATGCAGAAGAAACAGATTCCTAGATACATATGAATTACCAAAGCTAAATTAATATATAAAAATCCTAAATAAACCATCAATCCACAAAATAGAACATGTAATTAAAAACCTACCAACAAAGAAAAATCAAGGCCCTGATGGACTCACTACTGAATTCCATAAGAAATTTAGAGAAGACTCAACATCAAAACTTCTCAAACTCTTTAATGAAATTCAAAGGGAAGCAATTACTCCCAAATTCATTCCTGCAAGCAAGCACTATCCTGATACTAACACTGGAAAAGGACCCAATTTAAAAAGAGAATTATAGGCCAATCTCCCTAATGAACATAGATGCAAAAACCCTCAGTAAGATACCGGCAAACAGAATGCAGCAAATCATCAAGAAAATTATATCCCATGACCAAGTGGGATTTATACCAGGGATGCAGGGATAGTTTTAATATACATACACCAATAAATGTAACATGCCATATTAACAGAGCCAAGAACAAAAAAATCATATGATCATCCTAACAGTTGCAAAAAAAGTGTTAGACAAAGTCCAGCAATCATTCATGACAAAAACCCTACTGAAAATCAGAATTTTAGATGGTCATCTCAATCTACTAAAAGCCATTTATGACAAACGAACAGCCAACATCATATTAATTAGACAAAAATGGAAAGCTTTCACTCTAAAATTATGAACAAGACAAGGACACCCACTGTCTCCACTCTTACTCAACACAGTCCTGGTAACTTTAGCCAGAACAATTAGACAAGAGAAAGAAATAAAAGGAATAATGATAGGAAAGGAAAAAATGAAATTATCATTACTTGCAGATGACATGATAGTCTACCTAGAAAACTCCAAAAATTCCACTAAAAATCTGCTAGATTTAATAAGCAAATTCAACAGTGTAGCTGGATTCAAAGTCAACATTCAAAATAGCCTTCCTATATACAAATAACAAACTCAATGAAAGAGCAATTAGGAAGCTAACACCTTTTACAATAGCATCCAAAAAAAAAGAAATACCTATGAATCAATCTAATGAAGGATGTAAAAGATCTCTACATTGAAAACTACAGAACTCTGAGAAAAAGGAGACTGAAAAGGATATCATAAAATGGAAAGATATCCCTTGTTTTTGGGTAGGACAAACCAATATTGTGAAAATAAATGGCCAACTTCCAAAACTTTTATACAGATTTAATGCAATTCCAATGGCATATTTTTCAGAATCAGAGAAAACAAATCCTAAAATTTATTTGGGACCAGAAGAGACCTAGAAAAGCAAAGGCAATCCTGGGCAATAAAGGCAAGGCAGGGGGCAACACAAAGCCTGACTTGAATATATACTATGAAGCTACAGTGATAAAAACTGTGGTACTGGCAAAACAAACCCCTACAACCAAATATCAATGGAACAGACTAGAAGATACAGAAACGCCAGACATATTCAGTCATCATATATATTTTTAATTTTTTTTTAAAGATTTATTTGGTACAGGGTCTCACTACACAGCTCAAACTCATAGTGATCCTCCTGTCTCAGCCTCCCTAGCACTGGGATTACAGGCGTGCACCACCATGCCTGGGTCCTTGCGCTTGCCAGGCAGGCACTTAGCCGCCCACCTAGCTACCTCCCTGCCCTAAGTCACCTTATATTTGCGAAAGGGGCCAAACACATACACTGAAAGAAAGATAGCTGCTGTAATAAAAGGTACTGGAAAAATTGGCTCTGCACATGCTGAAGACTAAAATTGGACCCATCACTAAGCTAAATTCAAAATGGATCAAAGATCTAAATATTAAGACAGAAACATTAAATCTGCTGGACAAAAGAACACGTAAAACTCTTGAAGACATTGTGAAAAAAACCCCAACTGCACAGGAATCATCACAAATGATCAACAACTGGGATCTCATCTTATTAAAAAGCTTTTGCACAGTAAGCAAAAATACAGTGAAGACAGCCCACAAAGTGGGAAAGAATGTTTACTGGCTGTTCCTCAGACAAAGATCAAAAGTGTATCAAGAACTTTTTTTTTTTTTTTTTTTGGCAGAACTGGGGATTGAACTCTGGCCCTTCCACTGAGCCATCTCCCCAGTCCCTGTATCAAGAATTCAAAAAAATTAAAAAAATAAAAATCAGACCTCTAAAGTTGAAAGACCCAATACAAAAATTGGCAATGGAGATGTGGTTGGTGCTTGGCTGTCCCTCCAAAACCTGATGTAGGCATTGGGGCAGGCTTTTGGAGTTTGTGATTTATAATCCAATGGTGGGATTATGAGTGTGAGTGCTACACCAGCCCTGGGGTGGGTAATCTGCATACAAAGTAAGGAAGCTTGCTAGCTGTCACAGCCACTGCTCTTCCCTTTGCACTTTGCTCTTCTCCACTGCCACAAACAGCTGCCCTCTGCCCTGTGCCACTCTGCTTTGGAGCCAGCTGAGTATGGACTGAAACCTCCACTAAAATAAACTTCTTTCCATTCTTAATTTTGGGTGTTGGGTTTTTTGTCCCAGCAATGACAGCAGAGTAACTGAGATAGCAGATGAATACACATGTTTGAGATGCAATACAAATGGCAAATAAATATATAAAAACATGTTCAACATTACTGGCCATTTGAGAGATGGAAATTGAAACAACCCTGAGAGTCCATCTTACCCCAGAGAGAATGGCTATTGACAAGAAATCAAGCAATAGCAAATGCTGGCAGGACTGTGGTTTGGGAAAAAGGAACATTTTTCGACTGTTGGTGGGAGTGCAGACTGGTACAACCACTGTGGAAATCATTATAGAGATCCCTCAAAAAACTAGGACTGGAGGTCCCATTTGACCCAGCGACTCCCCTTCTGTGTATCCTTCCAGAAGAATTAAAAACATCATAGCACAGTGATATATGTACACTCATGTTCATAGCAGCACAATTTGTAATAGCTGGATTTTGGAAACAACCTAAATGCCCATCAACTGAGGAATATAAAAAAGATGTGCTCTCTTTATATCATGGAGTATTACTCTGCCATAAAGGACACACTGGAAACTTTTATAGGTGAATGGATGCAACTTGAGTCCATACTCATAAATAAATGAAATAAACCAGATGCAAATGTGTGAACAATGTATTGTCTCCTTAGTGTAAAATGAAAGAGTAAATAAGATTCAAAATGTACAGTAGATACTGAAAAATGGGAAGACACTTCAAAGGGAAAGAGAAACTGGGTTGGGGGAACAGAAAAAAGAAGGAAAAAGCAAAAGAAAAATATGTATACATATACAAAAGACAGTTAAAATATTTATACTACCACTTTCTCTCAGTTTAGCGGAAAGGTTGTGCTAATACTGTTTGGATTATGAAATACTGATCTCTTATATTCTGAGTAACTAATTTTTTTTTTCCTTTTATGTGAGATGGCTGATCTGGAACCTGCAGGGAACAAGCTGGCCCAGATGTCGCGAAATCCACAATTTTTTTGTCTCCAAAAAAATTGAGTGTCCAAAGACAAGGAACCCAAGATATGCCTTTGTAGGCGGGTTTGAGTAACTAATTTAAAGATAACAATACACAATGTATTAAACACCGTTACCCTCCTAGCATATTGTTTTGGAACTGTTTATTTTCTTTAAAATTAGAAAAAAAAAATTTAAAAAATAAAAATTAGGAAAAAAAAAGAAATTAAATGCTGAAGCTCTTATTTAGCTTACACTTTCAGAGAACTGAGTATCAAATCGTTTCACTCTCAGCCTACTAGAAGTTGAATTTAAATGAAAGATCAATCAAAGTAAACAAATCAAGAATGCTAAAGTGCCACCCTTTTTGGAGTTTTCGGATTCAAGTAGGATAGCCTCAAAATTCTTAGTGTTGAGAAAAGACCTTGGAATAAACTAAAAACCCCATGACACACTGATTTTGAGGAAGCTCTACAAAGCTCAACATGTGGAGATTTTATTTATTTATTTTTTTATGAGCAGAATATATTTATTGAGAAAGAAAGCTCCTGTTCAAGAGAGGGACAGGAGGGGGGCCCGAGCAGGTTGTTCCCAACATGTGAAGATTTAAAATAATTTAAGATGTGTTTCTCTATGCTATAACAAAATCACATTATAGACTGATCAAAATTTATGATTTACATTTAATATTCATATCTAATTTATTACTGTAGGCAACACACCCAACTGGTATATATAGACTTGCTAATTATGGTCCCACAATTCTTTTTCAATCATATAATCACTTTAGAATTCCTGATTTATTTACTTTGCTTGATCCTTCATTTCAATTCAATTTCTGGTAGGCTTACATTTAAATAAGTAACCCATGATAAATCTCACTTTCAATTAGGACTAAATAAGCAAGACTTTTCTAAAAGAGCATTCATTTCTAGTCAGTCACTTCACAGAGGACCTTGCCAAGAAACTACCTTTGGTAGTTAAGGAAGTAAGATAAAGAAGTCACTTGCTAAGGTGCTAAGACCATCCCAAACATCTCTGTTCATGCTTCCAACATAGAACGGTCTACATTTAAATCTCATACAAAAAGCATTCACTGACATCATATCAGCTTGTAACCAATAACAATACCTCTGAGTCTGCTATAAGGGAAACAAATCCTTACCTTATGTGAGCTTGGTCTGTTGTGAGACAGTGGCTGTGTGTGGTGCTGGCTGCTTCCGTGAGGTCCTGCCTCTCGGACAGTGCTACCGAGCTGGGGTCTCCCTGGTCTAGCAATTGTTAAATTCACCCTCTCTCCACTGGCCTGGAGAAAATACATTATCATTTGTCATTAATGATGCCTATCATTTTAAAGATTACAGGCACTAAAATTTTCTATACATTTCTCAATCACAGTGCCACGCTTCACCTGGCAGAGGGAGGAGAGAGGAAGTTAGTTTCTCACATACATATGCACACACAGACACACACACAGGTACACATGTTTAGATGCTAATTTTACAGGTTCATGACTATCACTTTAAATTTAGGATCCTGTTATTTATCTTAAATACAGATTCATGTCTAGCACATATTAAGTCATTTTATCCTTTTTTAAAGTACAAGTTTTATTTACTTGACACTTGGTCTTGGTCAAGATCACAATCCTCAATTTTCATGTTTCATTTTTTTGTTTGTTTGGTTTTCGTGGTGCGGGGATGGAACCCAGGTCCTTTTGCATGCAAGGCAAGAGCTCTGCCACTGAGCCACACCCCCAGTTCTACAATCCTTCATTTTAATATTAAAGACAGCTTTCAAAAATTGTGATAAAGTAGAAATCTCCTCAATGATTAAAGTCCATGTTAAATAATCATTTTGTTCTTAGTTTTTCAACTGAGAAATAACTGATAGGCAATTTTAATACCCTAATATAAACTGTCTGCTACTCAAGCATTTTATTGTACTAACTAGTTTTACGCAAGCTCTTCAAATTAACCAAAGCATTCTACAAGCAGAGTCTAGGGAGAGTTGAACACAGGGTAGTAACCAAGGAAGAGTGTTTAGAAACGCTGTATTTCAGATTCTGACACTTTGGATCCTTTGTGTAAGCAGTGTACAGGCCATCTTCATTACTATTTAACATCTTATAACTAAAGCCATCATTTCAAATTCACTTGAAAACTTTTTACAAACCTATTAATGGAAATCAATTCTTAATTTTTCCAGATGGCTTGAAAGACAAAATTCTGTGAATGCGACAGAAGCATGCAAAGACTGAATTTAGCACTTCACAGTGCTGAGAACACGTCAGAGGTTTTGTTAAAAATCTAACTTTTTTTTTTAAACAAATCTAGATTTTAACTAAGAAGGCAGAGGCAGGAGGATTATTCGTTTGAGTCCCATTTGGGCAACTCGGCAAGGCCTGTTTCAAATCAAGAGTTGGGGATATAGCTCAGCGGTAGGGCACCCCTGGATTCAAGTCTCAGAATTGCAGAAAACAAAAACAAGATACAGAAAGATAAGATGTTAAATAATAAAATTGGCAATTCATGAGAAGCAAGCTCTGTTGCTGGGAGTACAAAATCGGAATGATCTTTCTGGAGGGAAGGTTAGCAAAATGTCTTTAAGCTAGGAAACAGAACATGGAAGTCTGCCTGCAGGGGATGATGAAGTTACGGTACATGTGCTACCAAATAGCTACTAAGACTCAAGATGCTTAGTCTGCACTTATTTTCATGTAAGATGCCCACAAGATACTGTGGACAAGGAAAAAAACCAGAATTTACAAGATGAGGACATGTCTGTCTTCCCTGCTTGCTTCCTTCCCTCCCTCATAGACAGGGTCTTGCTCTGTAGTCTAGGCTAGCCTTAAACTCACAATCTTCCTGCCTCAGTCTCCTCACTGGAGATTACAGGTGTGTAAAAATGCAGCTAGCTTACATGTGATTTTTATAATACAAAAAACAGTAAGACTTTCTTTTTCAAAAATAATCTTAAATTCAGGAACTTCAGTTTTCTACTGTTTGGGAAAAATTATACTATAAAATATGATATAGCTATTTATATTATCAGGGAAATTTTTGCTTCTACCTATATAGTTATATCTTTCCAATTTTGGCTAGAAATTCAATGTGGACTCTCTATTTGGGAATCTTCTGATCCTCTCATTTCATAAAGCACATGACTTCTATTACAGTCAAATCCCATCAAAGCCTCCCCCTGCCCTGTGCCTTTCTCCTTCCCACCAAACTCCACTCTTGCCAGAAGAACTGGTTGTTTTAACAGTGCAGCAGCTAGCTGACATCCACAGGAATGGGTTCTAACAGTTGCCATCAATGTCATGGAATTTTAAAACACCCAATTTCTTTAAACCTCAAGTCTATCAAACGAGACCAATACCTGAATCTCCTCTCAGTGCAAGAAAAAGAGCTATGGCTTGTGTTTTCACTGTTATTTGATTGTGTTGTAAACACATTGTATCAATCTGATGCTCAATTATACGACTGCCTTATTTCTTCTGTAGCATTCCGTAGTGTTTACTTTAAGAGAAACACCTTTCAGCTTCACTATTATCCCTGCAGGGTATGCCCCATCATTAACTGCCATCACATGCTGCAGAACCACGGATCTGTTCTGCATGGTTTTCCAATTGATCTGTCTGCATGCTCTTTCTAATAACATGCCTTCTTTTAGTACTGACAATCTTCCCATCACAGAGATACTGTAGGACCAATTTTATGATGTGCTCTAAACACTTGAATTCCTTAAAATCTTTTTTGCATAGATGGAGTCCATTTATGTTGCCATGGCTGGTCTTGAACTTCTAGACTCAAGAAATTCTCCCACCTGCTTCTAGAGCAGCTGGGACTATAGGCAGCTGGCTGAGAGAAATTATTCCTAACAAATAAAATATTTTTTTCCTACTTATATGGCTCCTGAAGGGGAATTCTTCATTGCTCACAATCATGGTAACCACAGCTCCTCTGAGACTCACTTTGCTTTTTTTTTTTTTTTTTTTTGTATTTAGGGTCTACAAGGTCTCACTGCGCAAATCAGACTTGTAGTGATCCTCCTGTTTAGAGCATCCCAAGTGCTGGGATTACAGATGCGCGCCACCATGCCCAGTCTTAACTGCCATCTCAGCATGCCCAAGGGGTGGGGCTGGCATGGCAGGCCTGGGGATCGAACCCTAGCCTCTGCGAGTGCCTAAGGAGGTGCTTTAATCCGTTGAGCTATTTGGCTTCACTTTGCTCTTGATAGTGAAGGTGGACATCACTCAGTTATATCCACCTTACAAGGTGGAGCCCAGAGACCAAATAGGAAATAAATATGAAATCGCAGATCCTGCACTGTATTAAAAGTTGGTCTAAAAGTCCACAGACATAGTCTTTAGGAAAAAAAATTCATCAAAACAAGAAAGTCATTGTGTGGCTTTTGAAGAATTTAGGTAGCTATGTCTGATTTTCCAGTTAATGTCAAATGTTGGATGAATTGCGATGCTATGTGCCAATGACAACAAGCACCATTGCGTGGAAATTACAGCTCAGCCTTTGCCATTTACCTGGATGATCTGGGCTGCGAGCTCTGGTGTCCCATGCTTCAGATCATGCCCATTGATGGCCAGCACCCGGTCATTGCTGCAGAGCCTGCCATCCTGGGCTGCCAGTCCCCCTTCCAGCAGGTCAAGGATAAAAACACCTGGCTCATCTGTCCTTCGGACTAATTTAATGCCAAGTTGTTCACCAGAGTCTCGTTTATGAAGAACCACATGGAAAACCTCTTCCCGTGGAGAGCTGCCATCAGAATGGTTGTGTGCTCGGTTGCCAAAGCGTCTCTCTCTGAGCACAGTGAGATGCAGTGTGGTGCAAGGCTGGGAAAGAACAGCTCTGGCATAGTTGTGAGACACATTGCTGATATCATGGTTGTTGACCTACAAAAGCAATTATCAACATTTGACAATTTGTTATTTTCCTAATTTGTAGAAATGTTTGTATGACACTCCCAATGGAAAACAGCACTGTGGAAATGCTACATAATCATTACTTACAAAGGACACCTTTCTAAAGACATTTTAAAATAGTTTCTAGAATTAACTTACAATGTGCAGAATTAGGCAGAAAACAGTAATTAGAATCATAGGTTTTGAAGACAGTCTTGAATTAGAATCCTCAGCACTGCCATTTACTAACAGATCATGTCAGGCAGAACTTCTGAGTGTTTCCTCATCTGTAAAATGTGTTTACCATGTACTTTTTAGGACCAGCATGAGAACGAATAAGTTACATCAGCACAGAGCAACTCCTAATGAAATACTAGTTCTAGTGAAATAGAACTAAAATTCTCCTCAATCCAAAATCTGCTTTTCCAATCAAATATACTTTAAGTCGGAGAAAACAAACTTTTTAAAAGTGGCACATTCCAAGCACACAAGCTTATTTTATTTTATTTTATTTATGTATTTGGAACAGGGTCTCACTACGCAGCTCAGACCAGTAGTGATCCTCCTGTTTTCAGCCTCCCCTGTGCTGGGATTATAGGCGTGCACCCCCATGCCCAGACTTGGTGGCTGGTCAGCATGCCCTGGGGTTGGAACCAGTGCGGCATGTGGTGCTGGGGATAGAACCCTGGTCCCTGTGCTTGCCTAAACAGGCGCTTAGTCTGCTGAGCTGTCTTGCCGGACCTCACAACCTTATTTTAGATGGATGACTTTACTTTAAAGTAGATAATAATGACTTCATTCTACTTCTTTATATAGTCTACACTAAGCATAATTCAATACTCATGTATCATTTACTTATTAAACTTTACAACCTTGAAATAAATATAGTGACTGATCCTTGGACATGTTAAATTGCTTAGGAAATATACTCAGCTTCAATTATTCATCTAGTTCATAAGTATATTTTTATTTCTTACTTATTTTAAGACAGGGTCTTGTTTATATAATTCAGTTTGACCTGAACTCATTACATAGTTCAGGATGGCCTCAAACTTAAAGCGATCCTCCTGCCTCAGCCTCCCAAGTGCTAGAATTACAGGCATGCACCATTACACTCAGCATGAGCAGTTTTAGCATTTATCACAATTCAAATTCTTTTCTGACTTGGTCTGACGTGAACCACATTCTTTGACTATCTGCAGTGGGACAGACTGTGGGTTAGATATTAGTGATCACTTGAAATTCTTTAATCTTTGATATAAATGCATGGCAAGCAAACCCCCCCCCCGGGGGGGGCGTGTGCACTTCATTTCTTACTTATCTGGGATTGACAGTTTTATTTTTAGGGCTTTGTTTTCTGGGATTGACAGCTTTGAACATGACTGATGAATTTTGTTTATTCTAATATTTTACATTCAATCAAATTCATTATGTGTTTGTGTCACACACAAATTTGCTACATGCCCAAGTCTGTAACAACTATGCATTTAGTAGCTATCCAAGATCTTGAAAAAATGTTCATCAACAGAGGGTCAGTTGGACTGGGGAGATAGCCTGGCAAACGTAAGGTCCTAAGTTCAATCCCCAGTACCAAAAACAGACAAACAAACTACAACAAAAACAAAAAACAAAAAAAAACCCCAGAGGGTCAAGACCGGAACTTCCAGGTAGTTTTCAGAAAATCAGGCTGACATGGACACAAAGTCTAATCACTGTTCTGACCATTTAGCTAAAAGCTACCCTTAGGTTCATTTTTTCCACTATATATTTGGGCATATCATAAAGAACTTTATAGAATGTCTGGCTGAAATCTTGTAATACTTGCCAGCCATGGATAACACAGCCTCATATTTTCTTTGTGAAGTAGGCTGAAAAATCTACAATTGGAAAAAGATTCATCCTCCATAGATGCATACTTGCCAATGAAATTCAGAGAAAGTACAGCCTAAATAAAATACCAAGTATTGACTTTGCAAAACTATTGTGGTAAACTCTGTCGCATTTTTGGGCCAAAGGTGCTTTTTCACCAATGCAATCAATACTTTACTCATTATTTTCCTTCAAAGTGAAAAAGCCTAAATTTTTAATGATTCTGATCAAACTAAAGATACTCAGTTTTGGTGGGGTTTTTTTTTTTGTATTTTAGGGAAGGGTCTACAGGGTGTTCACAGAGTCTCACTACTAGATAGAACTTGTAGTGATCCGCCTGTTTACAGCCTGTAAACCCAAGAGCTGGGCTTACAGGCATGTGCCACCACGTTCAGTCTCAACTGCTGCCTCAGCACGCTGCGGGGGTGGGGCCAGCAGACAGGCCCAGGGATCAAACCCCGGGCTCCTGCGCCTGCTTACAGGTACTTTAATCCACTGAGCTATTTGGCTAGCCAAGATACTCAATTTTAGTAATGTTCTACAACTTGTAGTACGTTTAATAAAGCTACTGAAATACACAAAAAAATAGCATTTTCCCTTCCATTACTCAAATGGCTGCATATAAATCTATCTCTGAAGAACACCAAAAGATCCTGAGGTCCTCTGAAAACAGTCTAACAGAATAATATATACATGTGTCTATATCTGCATGTAAATGTAAGGGAACCAATGCTACCGAGTGCTAATTACATAAGGTTTGTTAAAATAAACCCATCACTTAACTCTGCTCTGCAAGTGAACCATCTTACTGTTCCTTGGGGATTTTCAACTTGATTCACTGTATTATTTATCCAGCTTATACAAAGTGGAAGGTAGTAAAAACTGCCACACAGGCATCTTTCCAAGTGTTCTATTTCTGAATGACTGCGAATTCTTCTCTGTAAAGTGGGAGAGTTTATTTATTGGTTCCAATACACCAGTTAAAAGCCAACCAGGAGTCAGGGCCCACAACAGGAGACATTCTTCATGAATTCGTTAGCCAGGAGACATGTTCACACTACTTTTCCGCTTGCACACTAACCCAGAGTATGGACTGTCCTTACTGGAGACATGTCTCCATAAGCAGTAGGAATGCACTGGAATTTATACAGTGTAGATTTTACGACTTAGGATAGTTTTCCCCAAATATGGCTGATTATTTTGGGTATTTTATTTGAGGCATAAAGATTCAGTTGCATTACTAAACAATTCTCCAAAACAAAAGGGTAAAAAGCTCACTGATAATATTTGTAAACAAAAAAAATCCCCAACTCAATGATATTTTAAAAAATACAAATAAAAACAAAGCCTTTGTTTTTACCTTTTCAACTTTAGAAATAAGAATGAGAAATGAATAGAAATGGTAGTCCCCAATGTTGGCATACTAGCAGTAGCACACACAAAAGGCAAAAGTAAGCATTACTTAAATGATGGCTAGAAAGGCTAGATGTGCAAAAATGACAAAACACTATGCAGGCTGCAAAAATGGTTCTTTTGCTCTCATGAACTTGACCACCAAGGTGTCAAGACGTCTGGGAGGGGAAAGAAACCAGCTGTCAGGTTCTCCTGCTCTGTGCAAAATGGGGCAGAAGCTAAGACATGAGGGCAGGTAAGGTCTCCTCCTCAAAGTTTCAGTCTCATACAGCTAGGACAGTGAAATCTGATTTTACATAAACTGGATTAGCTCTGCTTTCCCTATGCCTCTATTTCCTCTTAATATCTGATAACATAACATAACATAACATAACACAACACAACAAAACAAAAATACAGTTTTCATTTTGCCTCAGTCATGCCAGGGGCAATGAAGGAAGGGCTTGGAATTTATGGGCTAATGTGGAAACAATACACCATGACTGGCAGCATACAAGGGGAATGGAAGCCAAACCCAGGAACCTCCAATGGAAAGGTCAATCTCAGCCACCCTGGTGGCCTGCCTCTCATGTCACTCCCAAATCTGAACACTTCAAAAACTAAAACTTCTAGGGCCAGGGAGATAGCTCAGTAGAATAAGTGCATGCCTGACAAGTGCAAGGGCCAGAATTCAATCCCTGGCTCCGTAAAAAAACAAACTAAAACTTCTAATTGTTCCATGTTTTGCTTCAATAAAGGAGATAGCTATTCACAATGGGATGTCACAACAAAATCCAGTCTTCTACTGGTTTATCAAGTGTTTCTTCAGCACTTATTAAATGTGGTGAGAAATTTGTATCACAATCCATACCATAATAATCACCAGAGAAAGATTGTGCACATCTCGGTAAAGTATTTAAACAATTTACTATACTTGATTATGTGACAAAAATCAATGAATGCTATCAGTAACTGCAAGTAATTAAGTAATTAAGGAGGACCCCCCCCCCCCCCCCGGTGTGCATGAATGGATGAACAAAGCTTTCAGGATAAAGGTGGAGAAATCTGGAACACAGGACAAGAACAGACTGAAATGTGGGAAGAGTCATCCACAGGGAAACAAAATGTTGTTTCTGCCTTCCCTCTAGATGGCACATTTCATGAAAACAAGATAGTATTTTCCTTTTAAATGTAGCCCTAGCCTAGTAGTGCAGTGCGTAGAGAAGCCTATGAAATGGACAAACAGGCTAAGCACCAAAGAGAGTGTTACGATTAAGACAGGTTGCATAAGGGACCACAAAGCACAGAAACTTGACTATTAGTCTCAAGTTCCCACTGCTAGAGCCGAATCTCCGCAAGGAAAGCAGGTAACATCTATACTAACTTGGCAGTGATCATGTCAGGTTTTAGAGAGGAGTGATGTGAGGCAGGAATACTTCATGAACTACTCTACTAAATCAGACAATGGTATAATGAAGGTATTGACTAGAAACCTAACAGGAAAATGGAAATAAGAGATATTAGCACATCATAGTGAAAGACTAATCATATTTGAGTTGTTAGAAAACCTATTTTTTTAAAAAAATTATTTATTGGTATAGGGTCTCACTATGCAGCTTGGACTTGTAGTGATCCTCCTGTCTCAGCCTCCCCAGCACTGGGATTCCAGGTGGCACAGTGCACTTGGGGTTCTGGAGCTGGCACGGCATGCAGTACTGGAGATCGAACCTGGGTCCTTGTCTTCATGTAAACTCTAGTCTTATGTGGTACAATCCTTACCACCTCCATCTTCTCAGTCTGAACAAGTACTCTAATAAAATACCTTGTATCACACAAGCTTTTTTCTTTTTTTAATATCTGTTTTTTTTTGTGGAGGAGCAGGTTATTGGAAGTGCAGTGTTAAAATGTTGATGGTGCACTGGGGAGTTGTTGTGAGATGGCTGTTAAGATTTCTGATCCCTCTCTCAGATTCTCTATATACAACATGGGCTAGGGATCTAGCTCAGTGGTAAAGAGTGCTTGTCCAGAGGCCAGAGATATAGCTCAGTGGCACAGCGCTTGCCTGGCAAGCTTGAAGTCCTAAGTTCAATTCCTGGTAACCCTCCACCCCCCAAAAAAGTGCTTTCCAGCATGTGCAGGGAGGGCCTAGGTTCAATCCCAACACCAGGGAGGGAAACACTATCAGTAACTAGTGCTATGTAGCTCTGACTTTTTCTTCTCCTAGATTTTAGTAATCTACTAGTATACAAAAGGATTAATCAGACATGAAGTGAACAAATGAATACAAAAACTAACCCATCGAAGATATTTCAGCCAAAGTAAATGTCATTTGGAATAGCTAGTCATAGAGTACAAGCCAGGAAGAGTCTTGCAAGCCCAGAGAGCCCAGCACTGTATTTCTAGTTACAAGTGGGATTGTAAAGTGAGGCAGGAAATTTGCATTCCAGGAATATGATAAAATGGGAGAAATCACAGATAAACTCATTTTATCTGCATATAAAAATATCAACAAATTTTATAAACTCAGTTTCCATAATATCTGAAATTTCTAAAGTTTAAACTTATAAAAACAAAGCACAAATTAATAGGCATAATAATTAAAACCAATACCTGAAGAATTTGGTCTCCAGCAAGGAGTCTCCCATCTCTGGCGATGATTCCATCCCTGTAGACTTCCTGGATGACAATGTTTATGAGTGGCGTTTCATTGCCACCCACGATGCTAATTCCTAACTGAATGTATGGATTAGATTTGTGGATTTCAATGGTGGTAATTTCTCCTTCTGGTAAACTAAGTGGCTGTTGTATAGCTGCCAAGTTAAAAAATGGGACAGGAAGAACAGATAAACAAGGTTTTACATTCTGAGTCTCTCCGGGTAAATAAGACACCTCACATTAACATGCTGATGATTAATAACTAAACATACCACTGGGTCAGGAGTAGAATGACAAAAACACAACAAAGCACTATGTTAAAATTGGTTAGTTTGGCATGGTGGCTCCAGGCATGCTGTAATCCTAAGACCTGGCAGGCTGAGGCAGGAGGATCATGACTTTGAAGCTAGGCTAGGCTATAAAATAAGATCACAGCCAGCCCAGATCATCTAGTGCTAGCCTGTCTTAGAAAAAAAAATCCAAAGGTCATCCATAAGTAGCTAATAAATCATTACAACCTGTCTTATCAGTGGGATGACATAGTGATCTGATGAACACTGACACAGAGTTATCTTGTTTTTGCCCCATAAGACAGGTAAAGTCTGAATGAAGAAAAAAGTATAAACAGTGCTGGGTAGCAGAAAGTAAATCTTTGGTATACAAACTCACAAGTGCTGAGAAAGTAGCTAATATCAAGGTACAGAAAAGAGGTGGATCTGGAACTAAGTCTCAGGAGAAAGAAAAGGTCATGTCCATAGCAGTAAAAACTTGAATATGTTAAAGGAATCTGTGAGAGTAAAATGACTTCTGAAAAGTACCTGGGCCAATTACCAACATGTGGCCAAGACTCATGACTAGAGGCTCTGTCTGTTTCCTAGCAGGGTGGGCAGACAGAACAGCAGCTGCACCAGAGTATGATGTTACGCAGCCCGCTCGGGGAGTCGGAGACTGTATTTCCAGTCACCTGCTGGCTGTATGAATTTGATCATTTTATTTCAAGCTTCAGCTTTCTTGTGTTTTAAAGACAGCCTAAAGTTGTTGTGTTTAATTCATTAGTTCATAGAATGTGCTTATTAGCACAGTATCTGACACGATATTAGCACTTAATTTGAGCTATTATTTTTGTTTTGGTTGTTCTTGATGACGCTGATTTTACATGAGGAGATTTTGCATGTTCATGTTTCTGAACACATACACATGAATACTGTAGCAAGAAGTAACGACTAGCAATTCACAGACTTCAACAGAAAAGGGATGAGGAAGGATCACCTTCCTCCATGGAAAGACTTGTGTTTTATTTCTAAAATGCACATATCTATTTGTACATCTATTTCTGTTAGATATACAGAAGAGGGTGAAATGATGTAATATCTCAAAGTGATTTTTAAAAAGAGGACAAAGGTACATGTTGGAGGCCTACAGGGAAGGAAGGCAACAGAGGAGGTGCACAAGAAGGATGTGAACTGCACATACTGTCGGCTCCGGCGCTCTCCTCGAAGGCAGGGTTGTCCAGGCCAGGCTCCTCAGAACAGATGGGAAGACACGCTAACGTTGAGTTCCGCTCGGTGGGTCCTGTGCCTGTCCCCAGCCCTGAACAGTCGGTGTCTGGGGACAAAATACCTGGAGGATCTATTACAGTGGATCCACTTTCATTTTCAATCTCCATCTGAGTTTTATTAGTTTTCCTTTCCTCTAGGGCAATTCTCCGATGAGAAGCTCCAGGACATCTATAAAGAGTAGTTTCCGGATGATTTGAGAAGGAAAAAAAGGAGGGTGTGAATTAATAGCTTATACCTCAAAACAAGAATAACAATGGCTTCTATGCAAAAAGAACCTAGAAGTACTCACAAGTAGTGTGTAATTCTGACCCTAATCTCTACTCATAATAACACCTTACCATTCTACACAGCCAAATCCAAAACAAAAAGTCTTGCCATATACAGTGATTTGGTAAATACCTCAAAGAATACTTCAGCAAAAAAAAAAAAAAAAAAAATCATATTCAGGTATATAACCATCACCAGAAGACATCCCAACAGCTGTTTTTGTACTGCAAGAATGATTCTGAAAGTCACATTATGTCACCCTCTTTACACATGAACTGTCGCAAGCACAGGAGCGACAATTAGCAGTCTTCTTCCATCATGAATGGTTTATCTTTAGACCTTGAGTAGCTATGATGCCGCCTTACTCACTCTCTGTGGCCACATTACGCTTCATTCTTTAGTAGATCCCGGTACATCTGAAACCTTACAACTTGCAGTATGGCACAGGAAAGAGCCAAGTAAGTTCTGACAGACACATCAGACAAAAATACACAACAGTCTCTCACGCTGTAAAATCAGAATGTGTAATGGCATTACAGATGTAAAATTGAAGAATAAATTCAAAGTATACTTGGGGAATACAACCACAAAGAACAGTGAACGTACTTGTTTTTATTTACTTAAGTGAACAGGAAGAGCAAAAAAGAGCTTATTTAAATTAAAAACCAATGAAAGGGCTGGCTAAATAGCTGGAAGGGCCAGTCAAATAGCTCAGTGGATTAAAGCAGGGGCCAGGAGTTAGAACCCCCATGCTGGCTCTGCCCCTGGGGCGCACTGAGATGGCAATTGAGACTGGGTGTAGTGGTGCGTGCCTGTAATTCCAGCACTTGGGAGGCTGTAAACAGGAGGATCACTATGAGTCCAATCTATGCAGTGAGACCCTGTACACTCTGTCCTAAAATACACACCCCCCCAAAAAAAGGTTTGAATAAAAGCTTTAGGGCTGGGGAGATAGCTCAGTACCATAAGTGCCTGCTTGGCAAGCACAAGGTCTCAAGCTTGATCCCTGGTACCACATGCCATGCCGGGCATGCTGTGCCAACCTGAAACCAGGCACAGTGGCACATGTGTGTAATCCAGTGTTAGGGAGGCTGAGACAGGAGGATCACTACAAATCTGAGTGTGTAGCGAGACCCTGTATCAAATAAGATAGGAAAGAAAGAAAGAATGAAAGGTAGGTAGATTAAATAAAAGCTTTATACAACAGACACTAAGAGTGATGTTCAGGTACCATCTCCTTGTCCTTGACTGGAAAAAGTGACCACTAATGCCCAGTTTGAAGAGCAGGAGGCAGACGTGGGATTGTCCAAGAAGAGCTACGCCTACCCTTTGGAGGGGTGGGTGGCCATAGCCCACAAGCTGAGTGTTGCAGCCCTTCAAACGACAGTATTTTAAAAATCCAACACTTTAAACAAAATGAAACACAGAATTTGATATAATTAAAACTGAAGGGCTGGCGAGATAGCTCAGCAGACTAAGCACCTGCTTAGGCAAGCACAGAGACCAAGGTTTGATCCCTGGCACCACATGCTGCACTGGCCCTGTCCCAGGGAAGACTGAGCTGGCCACCAAGATGGGACATGGTGGCACATACCTGCAGTCCCAGTGTCGGGGAAGCTGAAAACAGGAGGATCACTATGAGCCCAAACTGCATAGTGAGACCCTGTACCAGATACATACATATATACATGCATACATATATAAAATAAACTGAAAGCTACCCCAACCATAAAAATAGGTTTTCCTGCATGAAGTAAACCTTTAAATTTTATATTTCATGTTCTTGAAAAGATTGCTCAAAATTCCTCTATTCACTTTTTTCCTTCACTTCTTGTTTTCTGTGTAGCTTTCTTGTTTTCTGTGTAGCTTAACACAGCAGGGGACAACAGATTTTCCCTTCTGCATCGTTGTGCAGCACATCAGAGAATGTTCTGGCAAAGATCTGACAAATATTTGTGAAAATGAGATAATGGAAAATGTTACTTTTGTCAACTAATCCAACTGAATTAGAAATCCATTTTCACAATGTTACTCTAACAACAAAAAAATCTTGAGGCAAAAATTAGACCATGAAAATACTGGGACTGAAAAGATAAAGATCTCATCTCAGAAATATCAGATGGGTAAAAAACTAGTCTTCAAAGTAAAAACATAGATCAGGAACAGGAAATGAAAAGTAAATATAAAATGTGAACATCTGGGAATTAGCTAACAACTGTATCCTCTTCCACCTTCCCTGACTAAATAATTGCAGGCCTATTTAATAGTGTTATTACATATATAAATCAACTTTAAATAAAGTTGATAGAGAGGTGAAGAAACAAGAAAACTTGTATTCCCAATAGGTCATCAAACTGCTAACAAGAATGGGAAACTGTCAATATGAACAGGAAATACATTAAAAATGATCTCATCCAGGATGACAGGAGTAAGATGAAGCTTTGGGCCACCTGGGGAGACTGGACTCATAGTGATCCTCCTATTTTCGGCCTCCCAAGTGCTGAGATTTACAGGCGCTCGCCACCATGCCCAGCCTCAGTGCGCCCAGGGGGTGGGGTCGGCACAGCACAAAACTGTATATTTTCAATACATGAATTGTATAATATGTGACATATAAAATAAAGATACATTAAAAACTGATAGGAATGAGCAGATCAGGGCAGGCTTGGGTGGAGGAAAGGACATGACCAAGAGAGAGCTCCGAGCCATAATCCTTCAAGTTTTTAACACTTGGAACTGAGAGACAGGAAAATAAAAACAAACAAACACCAAACCTAGTATCTATGGGGTGCACATTCTGAGTCAGTCACTGTGAACTGACCTCTATACAGCATTTCACTGTATCTTCAAAACCCCTTTATTGTTCTTACAAGTGGGAAACTCTGAGGCATAACTCACTAAGCCAATACACACAACTATTTAATTGCATAGTCCAAATTCATACAAATTCTGGTCACTTTTCAAAGGTTTGTGTCCTTTTCTTTTCTACCATACTAAATTCACTGATGTGAAATTTTTTTTTCCTTAAGCTTTACAAAAACATAAATTGGATTTGTTCTACAGACTTGTTCCTACAAACACAATCATAGAATGTTAGAGCTGGAAGGGCTTAGTGATCATTAAATAAACAAACCAAACCAAAATCTTATGCATCATTAGAAACAGAACACAAGCTGTGACTGGCACCAGAGGAACAACTTGGTTTATGTAAGCACGTAATTTTGTGTAGCAGACTAGTAGACAGGTATTTAAAACAAGAGAATAGAAGGGCATGTAATACTTAATCAGAACAGGGTAGGCATGTGTAGAGACTGCGCAAGAACAAATGGTGCTCTGAGGCTGCCCAAGGCAAAGATTTTACTTCCCCAGGGAGGGAGCTCTAGATGCAGGATGTTTTAAAACTTAAAAAAAAAAAAGGACTCATGCAGTAGGCAAAGGCCAAACTGAAGAATTCTTCCTTTCCTCCTGAAGGCTATGTATCTATTTCCATTATTTTAGCCTCCTTTGTGGAAAAAATGTACTTAAGAACTAGGATGATTTATGCTATCTCAGCAGCACTTCCCTTTTAACAACCACATATAACACAATTCATATTAGGACACGTGTGGTATAGCAGAACACACTACATTGTTAAGAGAAGTGTTAGTAGTGGTGTGGTGGCAGTGACATAGCACACATGAAATAAACTAATGTGTACTAGGCACCACAAGCCAGGGCTCAGTGGAACGCAAAGACTATGAGCATCCGTAGCGTCAAGAAGAATGATAAAAATAGGGAGTTAACTACACAAAAATCAATTCATTTGATGTCAGCAAAAATGGCATAGTGAACATATCACAACAGCCTCTCTTTCATATAAGCAATAGAAAGACCACAAAAAAATCATCAAATTATTTCTAATCTAAAAATTAGTCAAAGGATTATAGTAGTTCAAAATACATATTTAATCACTTAACAGTTGACAGGATAGCACATTTGTTTACCAATTGACTAACCCAATCATTGCTCAAGCAGATGTCATCTCAACCAGTTAATTCTTGTACTGAACAAATTTGATAAAATTATTTTTATATTTCCTTTTATATTATCTTATAAAAGTTAATGAAAAATGCAATTTTTGGTCATCCTGTATATAAATAACGGCACTGGTAAATAGATAAGAAAACTGGCAGAGCTCAGGGAGAACACAGAGGCTAGTGGCACTTGGACATAGCCTATGGCTGTCACAGCTGCCCAGAGCCACGGTAGACTGGAAAAGCAGGCAGTGAAAGCCAGGAATCCTGCGGCCACCAGAGAAGCAGATTAAAGCACCTCCAAACCCACATGTTCAGAGCACTCAACACTCTCAACCTGTCTACTGGTTCCCTGAAGACTCCATTTTCAAGGATGTCTGACTCAGCCTATTCTAAGTCAGCTTTTTCACTTGGGGGCATTTGTTGAAGAAACAAGCAAATACAAAAACAGGGAGTTTAAGATTGTAGAGGAAGGGGCTGGAGAGATGGCTCAGTGGTCTAAAGCACCTACTTGGAACAAGCTTGCCAAAGCACAGGAACTGCGGTTCGATCCCCCAGCACCACATGCCAGCCAGTCCCGCCCCCTGGTGGGCTGAGCTGGCCACACACACAATAAATAAATGTATAAATAAATAATTATAAAAAAATATTTAAAGATTGTAGAGGAAGACAAAAGCCTAACTAAAAGTTTAAGAAAAGGTAGGGAATGAAATGTCCACAAAAGTTCACACAAATCCAGGGCTCTGTGCACATGCAGGAAGACCGAGGAGGGCACTAAGCTTGCTCTCCTGGCTAATGCTAAAGCTCTGAGGCCAGAGATAAAGCCTTGGCAGAATGGTCTGAGTGCTGAAGGTGCGGTGTGTCCCGCTGTACACACTGAGCCCCTCA